CCATTATTCTGTGCTGGTCTGTATTTCAAGGTATACTTAATAGTGTCTGTAATTACACACACTTGCATACTAAAGCATTTCTTAAAATATGTTGTAATTTTGTGCCTACGTGATTTTTTTTTTTTTTTGTATGGAACTGCATACCAAACCAGATGTGATGACGATAGGTGGGGGTGGAAATTACATCCGTGTGAGGGAGTGTAATGAGTGAGTGACAGCATTTCTTAGGCATCATAGAATGTTGAAAACAAGCTTTAGGTTGGCGTTTACTTTCATTTAAAGATTTGAGTAAGTAGAATATGCTTCTTAACCTTATTTGTCTGGGTAAATACCAGTGTTTCAGCACTGCTTTGAGAAGATAATATTTTCTTCTGAACAGGTGTTTTATTCCTTTGATTCTTTTTTTTTTGGTCATCTTTTGTCACATGACAGTTTCTTTAAATTAGTTTTGATAACCCTGACTTCAGTTCAGTGTTTAAAAAACACTGGCAATTTATGGATGCCCAGTTTTACTCCATGACTTAAATGGAAATATTCCGTGTTTTCTCTTCTTTACTCAACATGGGAGTGTGTGAAAGTCGAAGAACAGGAAACAGGCTGAAGTAGTGCAATTTGGTCACTCCAGCTATAGAATCAAAGTCTTCTGCAGGTAGTAAACTCCACTTTTGTTAGTAGGATTATTTATAAATATGACATGCATTTTCCAAAATACATGTTGTCTGTTAAATGCCACTGATACCCAGTAACACAAAGAGCAGTATAATTACACTTTGCAGAAGTGAAGAACAACATTTAAAAGATAGGACTGCTGTGGCAGGTGGCTTGACTGCTTTTGCATGCCAGTGTTTTGGATAAAGTCCAAACTTTTCCTTTGCTGAAGTTTGCCTCTAAAATAACTTAAATTATACAGAACCAAACAGAATCCTTAGCTTAAAATGGATTGTTCTTAATGCAGGTTTGTTTTTTGTTTTGTTTGTTTGTTTTTTTTTTTTTATCCTTATCCCAGTTCTTCTTACTTTTCAGGAAGGCCACAACTGTTGTGATTGCAGCTGCATTGGTTAGGACCACCTAACCACTAGATATTAGGACTAGTTAATCTATATTAAATATTACTGTGCGTTTACCTTGATATTTAGATATATATCTGTATGGATAAACATTTACATATTAATATTCTAAAATCAGAGAACCCTCTGGGCACCTCTTGCTGCTTTTGCTATTGAATGCATGCAATGGCCTTGCAGTTCTCTGTCAGAATTCAGAATTGTTCTGCAACATTTCTGTCTTAGGCTAGTAGGAAAGAAAATGATTCTTTTTTCAAAAATAGATGCGTTAAAAACATTCATTTACATAACAGAAAAGCAAAATTGTATATTTCAAATGCAAGGAAAAATAGAACATAGTAAGTAAAACATCACAGTCAAAGCCAAGATAATCATGTTTGATTTAGTCTTGCTGCCTCGAAACAAAACCCTGTTTCAAATATTGCTACTTCTATAATTAACGTCTAAGTGCAAAATATATTTTATTCATGCTAAAGATCTCAAAGTACTTTGCTCACATTAAGTGCAGCCTCACAAAAGCTGAATGAAGAACAGTATTAGACTATCCATTTGCAGGCTAGCAAAATGAAATACAGAAGGATGTGATTTTTTTATAGAGGCTCAGTGTCAGCTACTAAGGAGTTAATACTTGGGAGTTCTGAGAAGTCAAATCTTCTAGTGTTTGCCCAAAATATCTAGTGGACTGATAACAGGATTGCTTATTCCAGACCCTTTGCTTTAAGTTCCAAATCACATTAACTTCTTGCAAACTTTGTATAAGTTAAAGCATGTTTGAGATATTTTATGCTGTGAATTCTAAGCTGGCATGACGTTATTCTAGATAGCATTATAGTCAGTAATGTTTATATGGTTAATGGATATAGTAAAAAAATCATATTTTTAGTTTTCACTCTTAAAGTTAGCCCATTAGAGACTTGAAATTGGTTTACAATGTAAATTTTCTTTTCATCCATTTTGTAACTATGCTCCTGTGTGGCTGAAAGCCCCGTTGACATTAGTGCCTTGTGAACTGTGATGTGAACTTTCCTGTTACTTACCTTACGCTGCTTTAACATCCTCTTTTATTTCTGAGTAATTCAAAGGGAGATTTATTGAGAAGATAGATGATATGCTAGTCTGTTGTAAAGGTATGTTTGAATAATGTACTATTTGAAGGATCTAGAAGACTTGCCAACTGATGAATATGAATTTAATTACTGTCACGTTTACTTCTGATAGCTTTCTGTTTACTGTAATTTTCAATCAAAGCAGTAAGTCTGGATTTGGTTCAATACCGTCTTTTTTCATTACTACATGAATTCCTTGGAAAGCAATATGATTGCACAAGCTTACAACTGAAGTAATGTCCTTGTGAGTCATGCCTTCATTAGTAAGGTCTAATTAAATAGGAAGTCTCCATCAGTAGGTGCTTTTGCATCTCGGTCTTTTGTTTTGGCTGAACCAAACAATTGATTTTTTTCCTCGGCCTCATAAAAAGGCATGGTGGCAGCTCTTAACACTTCACGGTTTGCCAACATTTCTTTTCAAGTATGATCACCATGAATGGATGTTGTATTTCCACAAGGCCTTGGTTGGATGGGTGTGCTTTACAGTTCTGGGCTCTCAGTTATCTGATTTGGAGATGTAGCAAAGTGAACGTGCCTCTTCTGCACCCCACAGTTCTGGGTTTCTCCAAAGGAAACTGAGGTCCTTGGAAGGGACTAGTACACCCTTGTCTCATCCCAGCACAATTTTAGGACACTGCCAGCTTGCACACGGCACTGCAAGGTGCATCACAGGGCTCATGTGCACCCAGATATACCTTCTGATGCCATCCATGTATGTGGATGATATTATTATTCCAGTTTTACTTCACACATCCCTGTTTATACATCCAGCACCTCCCTGTATTTCATCCCTCTTTATTTTGCAGTCAGTTATGTTGGTGTTTGGTTGGTTAACTATCACTGATGTCTGGGAGCTGCTGCAGCACAGAAGGGCTCCTGTCTGAAAAATGTTATGATCGTACTTTGCTCCTATTATGATATTATATGTGGATGTCTAAGACCAAACCCAGTAAATTACTCTTTACAAGAAAATGTGGTATTTGATTATACTTCTGTTTGTTGCTGCACAATCTGACAGTTGCACAATCTGCTGCACAATCTTAAGTTTCAATATGAAGTTTGGCATGATAGACAAAGAGGAAGGATTAAGGTATACTGTAATTATATTTAGTCATATGATAGCTTTACTTCTAGTGATATTTATCTACAATAATAGTCTAGAAACTATTGTTTCTAGAGTCTTTGTTTATACATGGTATGGATTTAGTGAGAATCATTCAGATATTCTTGTAGATTACTTTTAAAAAAAGACTTTGACAATAAAATACTGGAAAATAAAAGTACTTATGAAAAGGACAAGGTGTCTTATTTACATTTCTCATTTGTTGCTTCCTAATTTTGTGTTTTGCTTAAGAGTTGGTTTGATTTTTATAGAAAAAAATATTTTAATTAAGTAGATTAAGATGATTTAATTGCAGTGATTTATAAAATACTTGCTTTCGTAGAATTTTTTATTGGAACTTAATATGGGTGCTAGAGTGTGTTTTCTCCTAAGAGTCATTGTCATTTGACCATAAAACAAATACTTTGTTAACACTTTGTTAATTATTTTCTTTTGAAAATATCTGACTGAAAACATTAGCTCCTTTTCAGTTGCTATTTGGATGAAGCTTGAAAAACAGACAAAGCTTTTTTTTTAATCAGGTTTTCAGATTTTCTGCCTTTTCAAGGACTTTACTCACTCCCTCTAACATGATGTACTTGTTTAGCTAATTCTCTGGCTTTTTGGTGCCAGAAGTTGTAGCCTTCATCATCTCAGTTTCCAGGATGTGGTCTTCAGCCACACTCTACACTCCAATCTCCCACCCATCCTTTTTCTTTCCTTCCAATCTGCCCCTTTTTAATATCTCTACTTACATATGCAGTTTTATTTCCTAGTTTCTGACGGTTTCCTTGGTTTTGATTTTAATTTTCCATAGTCCTCTGTAACTCTTCTCTCTGCTAAGAGGGATTGGGGGGGGGCACGGATGGATGGGAATGGCTCAGTCCAGTGACTGTTGCAGAGTCTGGCAAAGGGATCTCCCCTCTCTGTCATCAGGTCTGCCATTTGTATCAGATGCCTGCACAGCAAATCTTAGCTCTTCTTCCTCTGTCTCTCACTATTTCCAGGTCTACAAGGTTTACCATTTCGTATGATCCTTTCAGTTCCATCCAAATAACTCCTGTCAATTTTGATTTTATATGTGGTTGAATGATCAGAATTTCCTTGGGTGTTTCAGTTGGCCACATCCTTTAAGATGCACTCAGTATACATATCACAAAAGATGAAATCACATTGTTATACATCTGTTTATGTGGATATTAGCAAGTCAGAAATCATGCTTTCAAGTTATCTAGTCCAGAATTTAACAGGGACATATTTTATTCTCCCTCTTTCTCATTAAATATTCAATAATTTAATTTATGTTGTGATTTTTGTTTATAAAGAATAACACTGATGAAGTACACAGTGATTTCATTTGTGCTACAGCTTTGCCGTTTAAACTAATTTTTGTATTTAAGTCAAACGCTATAATTCAGCTTGAATAGTGATGGACAATTTAAAGAGTATAGAATTGTCTGAGGTTCCAGCTGAGATGCAGAAAAATCACCAGGTCCTCACAAAGCCTCCTCTTTCATTATAGGTCAAGTCTGAAAGGCAGGGTTCCTTTATGGAGCTGAATTTTATATAGGGGTAGAGAGTACCCATTTTCTGATCTTTCCAATTCCAGTTTATAAATGTGCGCAGAAATTGCCCAGGCTGTCTCAGAGAATGTCTGAATAGCTGATGTGCAGATAAG